AAGTTTTAACTGTCAACCACACGCTTGCGTTGCGCAGGTTGTAAATTAAACCATGAAATACCAGCATGCTTCCTAGCACACATATATAAATATATACATATAAAATTCCATATAAATTTTTTGCTTGCCAATCTCCTTCGACGCATATAAATAGTTAAATTGTTAACAATTAAAATTTATTGCACTCGCATGTTAATGACGCCGCCATAGGAGCGCTAACAGGGCGTACAATGATGTGCTGCCTTGCCAGCTTAATTCATTCATCACTACACATTTTCACTTTATTTTTGCACGCCTTTATACTTATAGTATTATATTTACTACATATCTTTTTTATGTTGTTGTTATTTCATTCAGTTTCACTTGTTTTCTCATAAAACTGACCGCCATAAAACTGCTTTGCCCCCAATGGCGCCCTGTGGGTGAGCGGCGAGCGCATATTTCTTCAAACTATTTTGGCTCGACAAATATGTTGCAGCAACATTATTGCTAAAATCCTTTGACCTATTATGCGTCTACTAACATTTTTTTTTATGGTACAAAGATAAAAAAGTAGTGAACATTTTTCGCTTCAGTTAACTGTCGGTTACTTTGTGTTGAAGTTTCGAAAATTTGCTTTGTAAAATTTTTCGGTAGATAGGAATGGAAATATTTCTATAAAAAATGAATAAATTTTCCATTCTATTCGAAAGTAGAACAATTTTGTAACAAAGAGTGCGCAGTGGTGGAGTATACTCTGCTAGACCTGTGGATTCAGGAAACATTGACTTAAATTTAAAATATTTTTACAATACGAACTTCTAGAGGGCATTGAGAGTCTCAAAATTGCGGTTTTGATTACACAGAGGCTTACCAAAGACATTTGCCGATATCAGACCACTGTAGCATATTGCTGCCATACAAACTGACCGATCAAAATTAAAAATCTTTTATGCTATAAGGAATGCATCTGTGAAGGGTATTAGAGCTTCAGTGCTGCCGATGTTAACGTGTTTTTTTTATTTAAACTAGATTTATATATAGATATAGAGGTCTGTTCCATAAAACCCAATACACTTTGCAGTGTTTGTCTAGGCAAGTGGACATAGCAAAGAAAAAGGTTTCTCTAAAAGAATTACGATCCATAAATATATTTTGCACACACAGAAATTTAGTCCAATATTTAACCTCTGTTAAACTAATAATGGATTGTCTGTATAAACTCTACAAAATATGCAAATAATTCGCAGAAAAAAATTTAAATTATTTATATAATTGTTCGAACGTGTAATTCTTCGAATTAGTTCCTTGGTTCAAATGGTTCTTTGGCTCCAACAATTTTGAAATTTTGATAGCAAATCGAATGTGAAGAAGCAGTCGCCTTTGAATCGTCAATTCTTTGTTCGCTATAATTAAAATTTTGTACTTGCAAGCAATAACAAGGTTATACATTTGAATTCAAGGTAAGAGAGTAAATGCTTATATCATTGTATACTCTAAAAAAACCTGATCACTTAAAAATATGCTCTATTAGAGAACCGTTCAACATGTTTATGTACTTAATACATTTCAGCAACAATAATAACAACTTGGAATGCTTCGAAAACTAACTAAATAAAGTTGGGCGAAAACTATGCAGAATACGTAACCTTAAAAAAATTACTTTGAAATACGAAGAGTTGGCTGCCAGAAGAAGGAGAGTAAGAGCAAAATAAATTTAGCCAGTGTGTTGAGTATTTACAATGCAAAGTATACAAAATATTACAAAAATAGAAACAAACAACCAAATAATGCCGGTGGAAATTAAACCAAAATAAATGCGGGAAAAATAAGTAGAAACACGAAAGCAATGCCGAAGCGCAGAGTTTGTTTAACAAAGTGTTTTCAACACTCCATAAAATAAAATTCGCGAACAAAACAAAAACAACAGCATTAGCAAAAGCCAAACAGCTGCTGCTATTACTGCAGCAGTGGAGAACAGCCGCAATACGGCATATGAAAACAAAAAGTTAAATACTGACACCCACACGTCAACAAAAAAATTACTACACGCATTAACAGAATATGAATTTCCGCTGCTAAATATGTTTTTGTTTTGAATTTTTTTTTTCTATATTATAATTTGTAATTTTTTGTATTTTTTTCTGAAAACTCTTGCGCCTCCACAACTTGCCGCAAAACATGCGGAGTGTTATTTGTTTTTGCCCTGACCGTCACTGCCCAAAGAAGCAACAAAGCAAAAATAAGTGGCCAGTTTAGAGAGAACGCGATTGTTGCAGATTTTATTGTTTACTTTTGGGTGGTCGTCGTCGCTGCCGCAGATGCCGACACAGTACATGTGTTGTTTTTGTAAAATGGTATGCTCCAAAACTCAAACTGAGAACAGCGCTATGCATTATATGTAAGTGAGTGAGAGCATTGCTGAGCGCCATTCAATTCGAGAGCGTGTTTTCTGCTTGCCAATTGTGTTTGCAAATGCACGGAAAGCTAAATTGAAAGCTGGGACGGGGAGGTTTGAAACTGACATCCGGCATAGGGTTACCTGTATAACGCATAGACAGGAAGCAGTTGAAGGGAAATTGAATTTTCGGAAAAAATAAACAATGTAGAACATGAAAATTCTTGGAAGAGATATACTAGAGAAGAACAAATTTAAATGAAAATCATTGTCAGCCCAAGGATGAAAAGATATTTGGTATTTTATACACATATGATACGTATAGAACCGTTATTTTAAATAGAACACTCATACATTGTTTGGAGAGAAATTTGGACGTATGGTGTGTAGACTATCCTTTCGTCCAATTTCGCGCCGATTTTGGTTTATGAACATAGAGCATCGGCTTGACGTATTCCCACAAAAAGTAGTCATATGACCTAGTGACAGATTCATTTCTTAATAACACCCGGTAATAAAAAGTTTAAAACCGTAAAGTGAAGTTTTGACACGCTGTATGGTTTGTTGGACTTTGCTGCAGTACTATTTGGCGTTAAGACGACTGTTGAGGTCGAAACCAAAAAGTTGCGTATCATTTGCTTAAAGCGCTCACCTTTGACGGTAAGGTTGGTAAATCCATCTTCAGTTTTATAAAAGCCTAGGCCTTTAGATCGGACCACTATAGCATATAGCTGCCGCACAAATTGACCGCTCAAAATCAAGTCTTTGTATCAAACTTTTTTATTTGATAAGATACATTTACCGAAGTTGGCTTAGGACCATTCAAACTGGTCGATCCACATCATTTGTTAATATAATATATATTTACAAAATATTTCCTCATTAAGAAACCTTAATTCAACTTAAAGGTTGTTTATAACAAACAACGTGGCTAGAAAGTACAACCAGAATTTGTATATTTATTCCTGAATAGTGATTCGAAAGTAGGAATGTTGGCAACTTTTGCAAGGTGCACAAACTCAGCTAAAGTTTCACAAATACATTATAAAGTACATGTATGCAACAGTTGCTCGCAAACATGATGCGCTACGCAAAGGTGACTGAGGGAATAAATGAGGAGTTTACTTCGAATGAGAGCAAGCGGAAGCGTCAAAGGAAGCAAAGGATAATACAAAACTGAAAGCCGAAACCGCTTAAATACGCTTGGTTGGATGAGTACAAAATAAGTTCACCAAGCCTATTGTACGTACATATGTATTTGCACATGTATGTATGAGTGTGTTTGTATATTTTGCATTGGCCAAATGAACGCAGGGTCACCAATGGGCGGTTAGGTGGGAGTAGGAAGTGAATTGAACGCCAGTCAAACAATGCTAAAAGCAACAAAATTCACGTACATGCATATAATTACTAACATATGTACATCTGTATGTATTTGTATATTTGTGTATGTGTGTTTATGTTCGCCCATATCCACTTGTTTGTGAATTTGTAAGCAACTTCTCGGACGTGCAAACAATAAAATGAGTTACGTGCAGATTGCAGTTGTAGCGCATGTTGTTGTTATTGTAATTGTTACGAACAGATAACACCACCTCAACTTAAGCAGTTAGCAGTGGCGGAAAGTGTGCGGAAGACGCAAAAGCGAAACAACAACAGCTAATGCGGAGATTGATGTACCAATATGTATGAATAACTGCGAGAGCTGGTGGAGAAGTACTCTTATAGTAGTTGTTGTTAGTAAACGTAAAGTGCATGCAGTCTGTTTGAAGACTGCTATTGCTGTTGTTGTTGCTGTTCTGCACTGCCACAGTTAGTTAATTACCACGCGCAAGCAAAGTAGATAGTTGGTGGCTGGAAAGTTATGTACATACGTACATACATACATATGTATTGGCTTTTAGCATTAACCGGAATTGAATTTGATCGCCACACTGGTGTTGTGTGAGAGGGTTTGTGTTATAGTATTTTAAAATTAGTGTTCTGACAGATAAGATGAGAGCAAATATTTAATAAATAACAATAACAATTGGTTTTCTGCTCCCATTTTCGAATTTACCTTCAAGAAGCAAGAACCTCTTCTCAAGGTACTCTAGTCTAAGGTGAGATGGAATAATCTCAGCAATAGTACATTAAGTTTGTCACAAAGTTTGTAACTCCCAGAAGGAAACGTCGGGGACCCTTTAAAACCTACACTTTATATAAATGAGCAGCGTGATACGCTAAACAAGCTACCTCATATCGTTCGTGTTGTTTTAAAATATTTAAATGCAAATAAATAATTCCTGAATATAGTACACAAAAAAATTGAAAATAAATTTTATTTTCAAGGAATTAATCGCTATTTTCCCAAAAATGAATTATGCCTTATTAAACTAAAAAATAGTTCTCCACGTTCGTGGTTGAAAGAATAAAATTAAAAAGCTGAATTAACTGCAGCCAGTTTTAAAAATCTAGTTTTGAAAAAAAAACGTGTTTAGTGATTAACTGATTTAGCTGATTGAACTGAGCGGCATTTTTGAAATACTCATTTAAAATTTTAGTTGTTGTTTTAGAAGGTATATATTATAGAAATATAGAAACATCGAAATAGCACAACCGTGAAAATAGAATCTGCTTTTATGTAGAAAACAGCTTATTCCGAATATGTAAGTTTGATAATATAAATAGTTAGATTCAATTTTTTCACTTATTTGTTGCATTATTACTAAATATTATATAATAATAATTTTGGCATTCAAATAATATTCTGTATATTTTGAAGAACTATTATTTTTTTTTAATAAATCCTTTGAAAGCAGCAAAATTTTGTATGATTTTTGTAAGCTGCCAATGCTAATTCATAACTTTAATCTGCACATATATGTATGTAATATGCATATAAAAAATTATATACAAGATATAAAATTATATATGTATGAGTTGGTATTATCCCTTGGTCTGATTTGCCATCTTTACTCACCGTCCGCACGCTATTCTTTATTCTCTGACACAAGTTGCTGCTTTGTTGTATGTAGTGCCTACTTTGTTGTCATTGTTACCGCACTAACCAAACCGATGCAGTTCATACGTGTACATTCATATGTACATATGTATGTATGCACATACATAGTTATATTATCCTTTAGGCACCAATCGTGTTTTGCATATAACATTATCGCTACTACAAAGTAAGTAATTGTTGTTGGGTATAGGTAATTTTTATTGCCTTTAAAGTTTTTCTGCATATTGTATGATTTCCTTTTAGCTAACTGTGACCCAACTATCTACATACGTTTATAAAATGTGCGCAAGCAATAAAGCCGCAAAAGCCGGCAATTCACGGTGCAAAATGCGCTTTTAACTCAAAGGTAAATGAGTATGCATTTGTGTGCTTTGTGTATGCACCTCTGTTTATGCAAATACATTTATATTCCTATGTGTAATGGTGTTGGCCATTCATGTGACCCAACAGCCTACCAACAATTGTTCTACCACTGCCTACTTCACCACTTCGCTTTGTACATTTCCTATTTGCATGCACCTTCTTTACCAAAACTCCACAGTTCTTAATTCCAACAACAACATTTACCTGCACTTGTTCACCGATTTGTTTTTGCATGCATTTGTTTTTGCTATTCTTTTGTGTTTTCCCCCCATTCCAACTGGCAGTTTGCGTTCTCTCTCGTGGTACGCTCTCTCAGCGCAACTGTCACTGACTGCTACATTAACTGCGCAGTCGACTTCAACGCTTTTATTAGGGGTTATATTTATGTGTTGCGCTATAGGCCTCCTTCCATCGCGCATACAACAAATTTTATTGGCATTCGCCGTTGTTGTTGGCACTTGCTGCTGTTGTTGGCCCTCGCTAGAGTTGTTGCTGCCGAACGCGTATAGTAACAGCAGCGCTGCTTACTTCGCCGCTGCTCTGCCGACTACTGTCTACCGTCTGCTGCTTGGCTGCTCATATCATTTTCGTACATATTTTTGCTGTTTTTAGTCATGTGAACGGATTCGAATCGCCGCAGTCGTGTGCGAGAGTAGCGTCTGAGTGTAGCGCAACGTAAATTTTACTCGCCAAAAAGATTTGCAATTATTTACCTATAGAAATGACATATTGTTGGCGGCGCGTAATATGACAGCGTGTGTGTAAAAAGTGCAGAAAAAGACGCAAGAAAATATAAAAATATTATTAGCAGCAAGCAAGAAATAAATGCAAATTCAACTTGTTAAAAAAGAAAAAAGAAAATCTGTGCGAAAATATTTTGAGCGTTTAACAAAGTGTTGTTGAGTGACCGAACGGAATGTGTGCTGGCGAAAAATAATTCATTAATAATAAAAGTGTGGCAAAAGTAGTGAAACATAATTTTGAAAAATTTAAATAAAAGAAATTAAAAATAAATTGGTAAAAAAAATTAACAAGCAAAAATTAAAAAAGATATTATTGAAAAAATAGCAATAAAAGCATGACAAAAAATTAAAAAAAAAAAAATAATTAATATATTGAAAAAAGTGGCTATAAAAATTTAGCAAAAAAAATTGTAAATATATCAACAAAAACAATATAAAAAGTTATCAAAGCAAAACAAACACATTTGGAAGCCTTGTCAATTGTCATCGTTTTTTGTTTTCCAAGTGTTTGATTAACTGTTTTTTTGTCGTATCAGGCATTGTGACAATTTCACGTGATTGTCATTAAATCGCGCGCTCGTCTGAACTTTGCGCGCACCTTTCGACTTGCCTACACATTGGACCGCAGGTAATATATGTGATTTTATGGAGCAAAAAAAAAAGTTTAAAAAATTAGAAAAACAAAATTACAAACAAACACAGCAACAAAGTGAGCACGATCGACGTTTGATAAGAAACGCGCATGGCAATAAATAATAACCAAATATGTAACAGCTTTTAAGTGCTAAAACTCGCTTTTGCGCTTACGTGTAACGTAAAAGTAATTAAAAACGGAAACCGTCAATTTTGCGTTGCCTGCACTTGAAGTGCGGAGAGTGACTAGTTCTAATTCTAGTTCTAGTATTAGTGCTTGTGATATTGTGGAAATCTTTCTTCCGCTCCTCCTGTTATTATTATTTTTATCTTCTCTATTTAACTATCAATTGATAGATCTGCGCGCTGGCCGCCTGATAGCGCTGGGTGCTTTACAAAAATGTCAATCGGCCAGTTAGTCAGTCAATAACCTGCGTACGCCAATCAATTCTTTAGTCACCAGTCTGGTATTTATTTTTTTTAATGCTGCTATTGACCTGTGTTTGCAAAGTGAAGCCATTGAAGTTATTGTGTAATTTGTGTGCCCAAGTGTACTAGTAGCAGTGTATTAAATAACGTCAAATGCAAGAAGTATAGCAGACGCAGCAATAAAAGTTTTCAGTTGGTAAGCCATATACGCAAAATGTAGCGATATTGTATAATACCTGTAGTGTGGCTTAAAGCCGCAAAAAATGTTTATGAAGCGTTCTAAAAAGTTACTGACATATAGTTGGTGACAATTGTGTGGTTGTTGATGGGTAAGCCCGCTAAAGAAATTGTAGTGTGACTACTATAAATAGTTTTGAAAAAGTGCGTTAGATAAAGTGCGAGGTTATTTATAAAAATTATAGGAGTAAATTGGTTTCTTATAAGAACTGTGGCCAAATATTTACTTACACACCTTTTTTGTGATGAAAATAGCATAAAATAATTATATCTGTATACAGAGCGCTTTGTATGGGCGTTTAGTTTTAGAAATCCCAGAATTTCCGCAGCAAGAATATTTTGTCGATATATGTGCGACGGGACGACTCATTTTGGTGAATCGAAGCGAGAGGTTGCCATCGCTCCAAATTTTTCAGTTTTATTCACTGCACCATGCTCATCTTTGATAGAAGTATAGTTTCCAAAATAATGTTTAAACATAAATGCACCAAAGCTGCCAGCTGTACTTGGTACAAACCATGCCACTTATTTCTACGAAGATTTGAAGCAGATTTTGGTTTTGTGGTTTGGTGGACTACCCTTTAAATAAATTGTCGCTCGCGTTCAATTTGTTGTACCCACAGGCAAAAACTTTCTTAAAATAATTACCCAACCCTTCTCTTGCTTATCAGTTAATAAATAAATATTATTGTAGCGCAAATTCACGCCGTAAAAACTTTACTAAATAAATACACTTACGTGCAATTTTATAGAATAAACACTACAAAGTTTTTTATTGCATTGTTATTTTATCTATCAAAGCGATATTTATGTGTAGAGACCAACAGAACTAACAATCGACATGTGATTATGCGAGCAGCCGGGTAAATAGATTTTGAGTTTAAAACAGTTAATTGTTAAATTTTTGTGATTCAAATATCTAGTTTAACGTTGAGACCAACAAAACTTTCAGAAATTTAGTTATTTGAATTAAAGGTAACTATTTCCGACTGAGATTGATTATGCTTATTTTCTGTCAAACCCAGGAACATGTTTCAAATCGTTGTTCTTCAAAGGTATATACATATTCTTAGCCAAATCTATGGCATCTCGAGTTTTTGATTTCAAACATGCTGGAAGGCTGCTAAATCTCCAAATTCGCTCATAAAACTTATTTTTATATTTATCAAATATACTGAATATTTATGCTTTATTAAGCCTTTAAAATGTATTTTCAAAATCATCGATATATTTATAGAAGAAAAACCTATTATATAATATATTTTTATAGTAACGAAACTTCTTTTCGATATCGCACATTCGAACAGAATAGTTTGCTTACTACCACACTGTTTCTATTAAGTTTAATCCACAATTTTATATATTACATAATATCGAAAATGATTTTCCACTGCTTTTACTAAGTTTAATCCAAAATTGTATTTAAAAAATGTCAAATTAAATTTCGAACTTTCACTGATTTAAATTCCAATTCTTTCCCTGACCCACGCAAATACTAATTGCTGCAGTTTTAATCCGCCACAAGCGCTTGATGAATTGTTGTGACAATGCTTTTCGAATTTAGTCGTTTGCCAAGCGGCCAAGTTGCAGAGAAAGCATTTTATCATTTGATTGCTAATGTGCGCGCACTTGTGGAACAATTCACCGATGACAAAGAAATAAGGTAAAACAAAAAAATTATAGCACATTCTGAAAAAGTACATACCGTTAAAAAAGTATGATGCGCTCAAAGGCGTTGAAATTATAAAAAGTGCAATGAAAGTTTGCTCATTTATTTTGATTATTTTCTCATTTTTCGCTCATTTCATTTTAAATGCCGTTTTTCCCAAGCATACATATATTATTATAAATTAATAAAAAATAAATAGTGCTTAATCAGCACGTTTATGTCTTTTTTTTTGCAGCATCGTATGCTCTTAACGTCATCACTCAATTAAATTTGTCCGATATGCGAGCGTAAACGATTACATTAATATGCAATTATGTGCTCGTATGAGAGCAAACCTACTTTAATTACATAAATATATAATTAATTTGAATATTATAATTATTATACTTTTCACTATCGACAAGCAATCAGTGTAACTCTAGCATGTGCTGTGAGACAAAAATTAAAGATACAAAAAAAAAAAAAATTCTTAGTAATTCGTATGTTTTTGTTTTATTAAAAATGTTTATTTAATTAGAGACTTAAACTTGTGAAAAAGTATTGCATATTTCATTATTTCCCAATTATTCCCAGCAAAATCATAATCATTAATTTCATACAAATTTGTAAACAACTAGCAATTTCCTCAAACATATTTTCACTTTTAAGGTTCTTATTTTTTGTTTGAAATCATAATGTAATAATTGGTTTGTGTTATCAATTTTAGGGAGTTAAATTTTTTTTAAAAGGTGGCAACACTTTAATAAAACATAAGTTTAATTGTTAACCTTCTAGAATCTCTTTAATTTAATTCCAATTTATTTATATTACAATACAATAAAAAATTTTTGATAAATTTTGTTTTAATCAAATTTGTAATCAGCTGGCAACCATCTAAACAAATTTTTAATTGTAAGCTTTCTTAAATCTTTTTAGATATTACAATATGTTGTTTATTGTTGAATTCAAGTTTTTAAGATTATGGCATATTTATCTCATCAATTTTATTAAATTCAAATTCTTTTTAATAATAAAATATGTACATAAATAAATGGCAACACTTATTGGAAAATTATTTTTGTTGTAAGCTCTTCTAAATCTTCTCAGTGTGACATATTTCAATATATTGTTCATCTTATAAGCAATATTGAATGAAATTAAAATTTTTAAACAGATGGCAACACTGCTTTGAAAATATTTACAACTGTAAGCTCTCTTCAGGTTCCTCAGTTTGATACCTACTTTGAAATAATTAGTTAATTTTTTTTAATTTTTGCAACGTAAAAATTTCAAATAGGTGGCAACCATCCACAATAAATATTTTTACTTTAAGATTTATTAAGCCTTATTAATTTTATAAAATTATTTAATTAATTCCTTTATTATATATTTGTGACTTTTTGTGCCTTGGAATTTTTAAACAGCTGGCAGCTTTGTAAATGTTTTGCTTGACACCATTCGCATAATAATAAAAAAAAATATATTTCACTTTTTGCCTTTACTATAACTACTGCACTTCACAATTTCATTGCAATCAGTCCCCTACACTCTTAGCTCGCTAAAGTAGTTCAATTCTTTCAAAAATGAAAACTGTGAAACAAGAATTCTAAGACAACCAAAAACAGTTAATTGACCATGATAGGTTTTGTCATCATTGCTTTACGTTCATTCAGCAAAATTTCCTAGAAATTCTAATTGAAATTTTAAATTCGCCCCTGCTGCTAGTATTTTATGTATCTCAGCTCTGCTGAAAGGTTTTGTTGCTGCCAATATTAATCCAAAGAAAAGTCAACAAAATTCAATCATCATTTAAAAAAAAATGTTTTTTTTTTGATGAATGATGAACAAAATTTGTTTACAAATCATAAATTTTAGTCATGACATTTTTGCAAATAAACGGACACTTAGAGGTATATAAAGTTATAGTCATACATATATACATACGTATGCGTAAATACACATACTTGCATATGTATGAGTACAACCGCACTGACAACTTCACTAATCTACTAGGAATGTTTATATTTCAACTTTATCAGCAATTCACACATCACGCTGATTGTTATTAAAATTTCACATAATCGTGATAAAAGTATGCTATTTATATAAATATATAACAATGTGTAAGTACACTAAAATATATCAATATGTATATATATGCCTACCATTAGCCGCATTTTAGCATCGCGTTAAATTGTTAGTGTGTCGTATTTTTCTACTGTGCTTGTATGGCTGCTGATAATAATTGCTCGAAGCCCAAAGCAAACCTTTATTTCCTCTTCTCTATGGTTTCATTTTTGTTATTTAATTTGACATTAATGTTGGAGATTTTGCGGTTTACGGATACTTTAAATGTTTGGAACTTTTCATTTGATTCCTTTTCATTTCGTTTAATTTTGCCTTCAAGAAATACTTTTTCTTTATTTTTATGCACTTTCATCGTTTCCGAGTTAAAAATAGCAGTTGAAATCCCGCATTGCTTTAGATTTACGCAGACACAAAGCGAATGTTAAATTGGTTACCAAGTTTTTGTGAAATTTCGTAATTTTCTTACCTTAGCTTTCACCTAAGGTAAAGTTAATTTATGTCCTTAATTGTAGAATTCTTCTTTGCCAAATCTTCTTTTTTTTTGAAATACAAATTCGGAAGCGTTTGTCTCATTGGCAATTTCAATATTCGTTTGCCTTCAAAGCGATTTGGCTTAATTTGTTGAAGGAACAGTCTTCATTACAGCGTTGGGTTATTATTATTATTATTTCAGCTATATAAAGCTGAACAAATAACTCATTTTCGATTAGAGCTTTCACTTTTAATTTAAGCTTTCGACGAAGCTTTTTACAAACCGATCATGAAACAGTCTATAACCCATTAAACATATTGAAAAAATGGAGGAAGAGAATTCGGAATCAACTTTATATGACTTTTCATTATCAGTATAAATTATCGCTTGCTAAAAGCTCGGCCATTTTTTTTAAAGCTTTCATTTCCCTTAAGATTTAATCTACAACCTAGCTCGCATTGTATTTAATACCGATTCGAGGACGTCATTGATGTCATCTGTATATTTTTATACTTGTAATAAATGAAGCTAATTGCTTCCACTATCTAAGGATGTTCATTGTATCGAGTATTCCGTCCCCTTTCGAATTCTGTCGCTGAAAGTTTTAATATAAAGCTTCTGTAGAGTAAGATGATGACGTATTGTATACGCTATTCATGCCTGTGGATAGAAATATTTGCTTTTAGCAGATTAGCTATTAAAAGCGTATTTGCGAGATCTTTGAAAAGCTCAGTGGAATTTTGATGTTCTG